CACACACTAAAATCTATAGTAGACACACACACACAAAAGGAGAAAGGAATCCAACTATAACTCTAAAGATAGTCTTCAAACACAAGACAACAGAGCAAAATAAGAAAGGAACAAAAAAAAAACCCAATAAAATGAAAAAAATAGCAATAATTACATACTTATCAATAATTACTTTAAATGTAAATGGACTAAATCAAAAGACAGAGTGACTAAGTAGATAAAAACAAGATCCATATACATGCTGCACACAGAAATTTACTTCAGATCTAATGACACACAGATTGAAAGTGAGGGAATAGAAGAAAATATTTCATAAAAATGGAAATGAAAAGAAAGCTGGGGTAGCAATACTTATATCAGACAAAATAGACTTTAAAACAAAGACTGTACCCACTCCTGGGCATATATCCAGAAGGAACCCTACTTCAAAAAGACACCTGCACCCCAATATTCATAGCAGCACTATTTACAATAGCCAAGACATGGAAATAGCTTAAATGTCCATCAATAGATGACTGGATAAAGAAGATGTGGTATATTTATACAATGGAATACTATTCAGCCATAAAATGACAACATAACACTATTTGCAGCAACATGGATGCTCCTGGAGAATGTCATTCTAAGTGAAGTAAGCCAGAAAAAGAAAGAAAAATACCATATGAGATCACTCATATGTGCAATCTCAAAGAAAGGAAAGAAAGAAAGAAAGAAATAAAGAAAGAAAGAAAGAAAGAAAGAAAGAAAGAACAGAAGAAAGAAAGAAAATGAAAAGAAAGAGAGAAAGAAAGAAAGAAAGAAAGAGGAAAGAAAGAAAGAAAGAGGGAAGAAAGAAAGAAAGAAAGAAAGAAAGAAAGAAAGACAAATGAACATAAATACAAAACAGAAACAGACTCATAGACATAGAATACAAACTTGTAGTTACCAGAGGGGAGAGGGGTGGGAAGGGACAGACTGGGAGTTCAAAATTTGTAGATACTGACAGGCATATGTAGAATAGATAAACAAGACTATACTGTATAGCACAGGGAAATACATACAAGATCTTGTGGTAGCTCACAGTGAAAAAGAAAGCGACAATGAATATATGTATGCTCATGTATAACTGAAAAATTGTGCTCTACACTGGAATTTGACACAACATTGTAAAATGACTATAACTCAATAAAAAAATGTTTAAAAATGGAAAAAATAAAAAAAAGGGCAAAGACTTTGACAACAGACAAAGAAAGATGTTACATAATCATAAAGGGATCAATTCAACAAGAAGAGATAACAATTATAAATGTATATGGATCCAACATATGAGTGCCCAAACACACAAAGCAAATATTCACAAAAAACATATAAAGGGAGAAGTTGACAGTAACACAATAATTGTATGGAACTATAATACCCCACTTACATCAATGGACAGATCATCCAGACAGAATATCAATAAGGAAACACTGGCTTTAAACAACACGTTAGATTAAATAGACTTAATAGATGTATACAGAACATTTCCCTCCCAAACAGCAGAATACACATGCTTTTCAAATATATATGGAACATTCTCCACAATAAACAATATGCTAAGCCACAAAACAAGACTCAATAAATAAGACCTAGTTCCTTTAGGTGTAAAATTAGATTGTTTATTTGAAATTTTTATTGTTTCCTAAGGTAGGCTTGGATCGCTGTGAACTTCCTTCTTGGAGCTGCTTTTGCTGTGTCCCATAGGTTTTGGATCATGGTGTTTCCATTTTCATCGTCTCAGATGTTTTTTGATTTCCTCTTTGATTTCTTCAGCATGTTGTTTAGACTCCACATGTTTGTGGTTTTTGCAGTTTCTTCCCTTGTAGTTGATCTCTGTCTCATACTGTTGTAGTTGGAAAAGATGCTTGATTTCAATCTTCTTAAATTTATCTAGATTCATCAAGAAGAAGAAGAGAGGGCCCAAATAAATAAAACCAGAAATGAAAGAGGAGTGGTTACAACTAATACCACAGAAATACAAAGGATTATAAGAGATTACTAAGGACAAGTATACATCAATTAAATGGAAACCCTAGAAGAAATGAATATACCTCTAGAAATATGCAACCTGCTAAGACTGAATCAGGAGAAAACCGAGAATATGAACAGACTGCTTACCAGTAATGAAACTGAATCAATAATACAAAAAACTCCCAATGAACAAAAATCCAGGATCAGATGGTGAATTTTAGCAAACATTTAAAGATGTTAAAGTTAACACCTATCCTTCTCAAACTATTCCAAAAAGTTGCAGAGGAAAGAATGCTTCTGAACTCATTCTCCTAGGCCAGCATCACCCTGGTACCAAAACCAGACAAGACACCACAAAAAAGGAAAATTACAGGCCAATATAATTGATAAGCATAGGTGCAAAATTCCTCAACAAAACCAAATTCAACAATAGATGAAAAGGATCATACACCATAATCAAATGGAATTTATCTCATGTGGGATGCAGGGGAAGGTTTGATAACTGCAAGTCAATCAGTGTGAAATGCCACATTAACAAACTGAAGAATTGAAAACTATATGATCATCTCAATACATGCAGAAAAAGCTTTTGACAAAATGCAGCACCCACTAATAATAAAACTCTTGGCAAAGTGGATGAGGAGGGAATACACCCAAAATAATAAATGCCATATGTGACAAACCCAACAGCCAACATTATACTCAATCATGAAAAGCTGAAAGCATTTCTTCTAAGATCAGGAACAAGACAACAAGCCCAGTCTCACCATTTTAATTCAAAATAGTATTGGAAATCTTAGCCATAGCAATCAGAGAAGAAAAAGAAATAAAAGAAATTCAAATTGAAAAGAAGTAAAACTGTCACTGTTTGCAGATGACATGATACTATATGTAAAATGTCTTAAAGACACTACCCCCAAACTATTAGAACTAATAAATAAATTCAGTAAAGTTACAGGATACAAAATTATTATACAGAAATCTATAGCATTTCTATATACTAATAACAAACTATCAGAAAGAGAAATTAAGAAAACAATCCCATACACAATTAAATCAACTATAATAAAACACCTAGAAATAAATTTAACCAGGAGGCAAAAGACTTGTACTCTGAAAACTATAAGACATTGATGAAGGAAACTGAAGATCATGCAAACAATTGAAATACGTACTGTGTTCATGGACTGGAAGAAATAATATTGTTAAATAACTGTATTACCTAAGGCAGCGTACAGATTCAGTGCAATCACTATAGAAATACCAAAGGAATTTTTCACAGAACTAGAACAAATAATCCTAAAATTTGTGTGGAACCACAAAAGACCCCCAAATAGACAAAGCAATCTTGAGAAAGGAGAACAAAGCTGGAGGTGTCACACTCCCTGACTTCAAACTATACCATAAAGCTATAGCAATCAAAACAGTATGGTATGGGCACAAAAACAGACACATAGATCAGTGGCTGAGAATATATAGCCCAGAAATAAACCCACACACATATGGTCACTTAATCTATGATAAAGAATGCAAGAATATACAATGGGGAAAAGACAGTCTCTTCAGTAAGTGGTGTTGGGATAACTGGACAGCTACATGTAAAACAATGAAATGAGACCTTTTTTTTTTCTCCACACCAAATGCAAAAATAAACTCAAAATGGATTAAAGCCTTAAATGTAAGTCCTGAGACCATAAAACTCCTGGAAGAAAATGTAGACAGGACGCTGTTTGACATTGATCTTAGCAATAATATTTTTTTGGATATGTCTCCTTAGGCAAGGGCAACAAAAACAAAAATAAACAAATGGGACTATGTTAAATTAAAAAGGTTTTGCACAGCAAAGAAAACCATCAACAAACCTAAAAGGCTGCCTACTGAATTGGAGAAGAGATTCGCAAATGATATATATGATAAGGGGTTACTATCCAAAATAAACAAATAACTCATACAACTCAACATCAAAAAAACTGAAACAACCTAATTAAAAATGGGCAGAAAACCTGAACTGACATTTTCCCAAAGACATCCAGATGGCCAACAGACACTTTAAAAGATGTTCATCATCACTAATCATAGCAACTTGCAAGTCAAACTCACAACCGTCAGAATGGCTTTCATCAGAAAGTTTTTATTTTTTTTATTTTTTATGTCTGCACCTGCTGGTGTTTCTGGGTTCTTGGTTTCTTCAGCTCCCAAATCTGAGATATATGAGACAAAAAAGCCCAGGGAAATCACCACTGTTATTCCTTGAATATCAAGGGTTTTTGTAGTGTTGAAGTCTCCTTCCACCTGTCATAGTCTATTTTTGTTTGTTTTATATGTAATTGCCAGGAATTTTAGCCATACATACTTAGGAAAAGGAATGGGAAATGTACATCTACTTCATTTTTCTGGAAGTGGAAGTTCTCTATTTTGCTGTTTACATGTGTGTGAAGTGTGTGAGACATTCTTATACTCTGAATGTCCAAAAAGAGACCAATGTACATTATTTATTTTATGCAACTATTAAAATAATGATCATGAGACAATCTCATAATTTTATTAGGAATGAAAATGCTTGGATTACATAGTGAAAAAAATAGGTCAAACTATATGCATATGCAACTATGATTACCACCATATGGAAAAACCCATTGTAAGAAAGAAAACTGAAAGTTCCCAAAATGCTGACAATGGATGTTTGGAGTATGGAATTATAAGTGATTTTTGCCTTTCATGTGCCAAATTTGAAAAAAAAAAAGAATCTGGTACTTTCCTTATTAAAAGTAAAGTAGAATACAATTTATTGTATTCCTAATTTTTTTCTCAGAATGACACATACAACTGTCTTCCATGATATATGACATCTTACATGATGAGCTAAATAATCAATTTGTATTTGAGGAGTTAAAAATATTTTCATCCTGGGTTTATGCAAAAATGAAACTACCAGATGGGTTTAGACAATTGCCTTGGTATTGAATGGTTATTATTATCAACAGGAATAAGCCGCAAAGGTTCATTTACCATGCTAAAGGAATGAAAACACTGTATTTGGAGAAAACTTTATAGCAAGAAAGTTTTATGCTCCTAGAATATCACAAATAACCATCAGGAGAGGGAATGGTGAAACAGAAACACGTCTTGGATGCTTAGAGGACAGTTTTAGGATATGAAAGGCTTCTTAACTTTGAGTTTCAAGTTTGGGTGTCCCTGATTGAAGCACCATCTCCTTTCCAGGGTGCTGCTGGCTTCTGTTCCTCTGTCTGCCGTGCTGGGTGTTTAACCTTCACGTACAGCAGTTTTCCACTGTGCAAATTATGTACGCCGAGCATGGCTCACAAGTGTTGCTTGACATGCTTTTTGCAGAACATGGGTTACAGGGAAGCCTGTGAAAAATCCATTTTTAACTAAGCTTTATATGGGTTTGGGCAGGGGAGGGACAAATTAGGAGTTTAAGATTAACAGATACACATTACTATATATAAAATAGATAAACAAAAAGCTACTGTATAGCACAGGGAATTGTATTCATTTTCTTGTAATAACATATAATGGAAAAGAATCTGAAAAAAAAGTATATATATATGTATAAGTGAATCACTTTGCTATACACCTGGAACTAACATTGTAAATCAACTACACTTCAATAAAAAATAAAATTAAAAAAAAACATGAGGAAGTTGGATAAAATGTCAACTCAGAAAAAAATCATGCCAAAATTTGCCCTGCAAATTAGGTTCTGAGGAACACTCTTTGCAGAATAACCTTTGACTGAAGCCTGCTTTATCCTTGGACTCAGAATTGTCACGTCCTGTTCACTACAGCAGTGACAGCTGAATAAGCTTTTATGTATTTTCCTCACTCGGCCAGCAGCATCATATGCGTGTTCCTGAGTTTCCTTTAATGGAAAATAAGAGCAAAGGGAGACCCCCTGACCATGAAATGTCACATATGATATTTTTTTCTGCTTTAGAATTTTAGAATATTTTGAACATTTCTATTGTCATGCGATTAGCCTTGGCTACTTTTCATCACTGTTTAAGAAAATCCTTTAACCCATTAGAGAGATTTGATCTTGACCAGAGCTTGGGAAAACAGGATTGTCCTACGTGGTCCTCTTTGTGACTCTGGGGGATTTTGAGAGTAATTGTGTGGAACTTGCCTGCTGTCCTCCCTCTCAAGGAGCCCCCGGTACGTGTTGATCTCGCCCTCCAGCCGGGCCTTTGTGTCCAGCAGCACCTGGTACTCCTGATTCTGCCGCTCCAGGTCACAGCGGATCTCGGCCAGCTGGTTCTCCACGTTATCGATCAGGCACTGCACCTGGGCCAGCTCGGTGCTGTACTGGGCCTCGGTTTCTGCCACAGTGCATTCCAGGGATTCTGTCTGCAGAAGGAAAAGAGTGTAGAAAGGGCTGTGTAGCACTAGGGACAGAGTGCCTGTTTTCCAAGCCTTCCTCCACCCTTTTCCAGTTATATGACTTTGGGAAAATTACTTAGCTTCTCTGAACCTCAGTTTTATTCTATAAAAAATGGGGAATGCAAAGTATATATCTCATGGGATGCTCGTGAGGATTCATGAGTTAATAAATTTAGGAGTGGGTGAGTGTTAGTTATTACTCCTGTGACCACTGCCACCTGCAACCTACTTGCATAGCTTAAGGAGGATCAATAGCATTTGAGAGGAGACATTGAGCATTAGCTCCTGGCTCCTAGTGTGTAAGAGAAGAGGCTCTGGGATGAACCACTTGGATTCAGCTTCCACTTTTGCCTCTTAAAAATAGCAGTGGTCTCCTGTTATTTAGTCTTAGTTTTCCTCATCTCCATAATGGGGTCAGTAAAGGGATTTACCACAAAGGCTATTGTGAGGCTTAAATTAGCATTATGCCTCTCGCAAGACGAATGCTCAGCTATTATTCACTAGATATTCTCTATAGGACCTAGCATGGCACACAGAGTGGTGTTTGACTGGAACTGCTTAATGTAAGCTTGAATGCATGGTATTCTTATTTGGGTGGAGTATGGTGTAGTGAAGGATCCGGTTGAGGTGTGGATCCTGGAAAAGCTAAGATAGTTGTAGAACGCAGAGTTTGAATATCTTTGTTTTAGATATGATGGCAAACTTGGAAGATTGGCTTGAATCAAAAGAGAGTTAGAACCCACTGAAATTCTTGGGTGCCTTTGGCTCAGAAGGTGTTCTCTCATTCTGCTCCTGCACGTTCCCATTCTCTCCCTGTCTCTGGAGGGTGCTTCAGTATCATGCCCAAGCCCAGGAGGGAAGGTCAGGGCATCCTACTGGGACAATACAAGCTGTTGACCTATCACTTCTGCTTTGAGCCAGGTTAACAGCGGTACTTGGAAAAGGGAAGGAAATGTAATCTTTGCAAATGGGAACTTCAGACATTCTGCTACATGAATTGTGCGTCTCTCCTTTGGGTTGTGGAAGCGGGTATAGGATCTCAGGACCTGATTCTTCAGTGGCAAGACAGAGCTGTCTTTCCCTTACACACCAGACTTTGCTGTGCTTGGAGCTCAATTTCCAGAGCGTTGGCTGTGCGTTTCAGTTCCAAGATCTCCATCTGGCAGCCCTGCAGCTGCTCCGCGCTGGACAGCTGCTGCTGATTCAGCTCCTCCGTCTGAAATACAGGCATGGTTAGAGAAAGCAAATAAGGCAGAAATCTGGAAGCCTGTCTTTTTATTGCTCCAGGCACCGACCTGAACAGCGAACCATTCTTCCACATCTCTGTGGTTGTTGGCAAGCACTGTTTCATACTGGCAACGCATCTCATCCAGGACCCTGTTGAGGTCCGTGGTGGGGGCAGTTTCTAGCTCCACATTGAGTCGGTCACCCAGCTGTCCATGAAGCACGCTGACCTCCTGAAGGTGGAAATGGGGTAAAGAATGTCAGAGTGGTTGGGAAAAGAATTCAACTTGACATCCCAATGGCATCTTACTTCTGTTTTGGGGAGTAGTGGGTGAAGATGTGGGATTTAGACTGTGATTGCCTAGCTTGAGTCTCTCTTCATCACTCAGTTTCTTCATCTGTGAAATGGGTCAAGTTTTACCTTTACCAGAGAGTTATTGTGAGATATGTAAGAGGTAATATACACATCAACACTTATAACAGTCCTTGGTGCATAGTAAGTTCTCAATATTAGCTATTATTATCATCAACAGCTGTGCAAATGGAAAATAGACTTTGTTACATCATTCAGCTTTCCATTTTTCAGTTTCACTGACATGGAATAATCATACGCTTCACATTAAATGATTTTTAAAAGTTTATAAATGCAGAATATTTAAAAATATTGGTTGAAATATTGCGTGGGTCCTTATCCTGGTTTTGAAATGGCCTTCATACTCTGCGATTATCATCCTGATTTTTATACTTTATGGATTAGAGTTAGGAGTAGCATAAAGCCTCCAGGAAAGCCACTTGGGGAGTTGCCTCCTTCACAAGAGCAATAACAGGGGAAGGGTTTGGTTCCCCCGTCTGGCACTGGCCAGCAGTCATTTCACATCCATGTTCAGAGACACACCGAAATGATCAGGCTGAGTAGTAGTAGTGCCTGGAGTAATTTTCTTCCACCTTAAGCATCATCTCCCCAAGTTCAATTTATATACACAGCATGAACTCTGTCAGTTTAACTTGGTCACTCTCAGAGCCTTTCCATGATTTTGCCATTTTCCTCACCTTTTCATGATTGTTCTTAAGGCAAAGGAGATCTTCCTTCAGAGACTCCACATGGGCCTCCAGGTCGGATTTGCACAAGGTCAGCTCCCCCAGGATCCCACGCAGGCCACTGATGTCATTCTCTACCAGCTGGTGAAGAGATAGTTCAGACTCGTACCTTTCATATCAAAAGAAATATATCCAATGCTTACTTTGCTCGACGCTGCAAAGTGCAGGGGCGCACTGATGAATGACACCTGGACTCAAGGCAGCCAATGCTGTAATTGCGTCTATGCCCCAAATAATGATAAATTCAAGCTTTGTGAGCATTCTTAGCTTAAAAAATACTATATAGAGAATACACACATGATATGTATGTGTGAGGAAGAGAGAGAGAGAGAGAGAGGCGACCATCAATTATTTCCAAATTCCAAATTAAACTTACTTTGACCTGAAGTCATCAGCAGCCAGTTTGCAGTTGTCAAGCTGTACAGCAAGTCTAGAATTCTCTGCCTTTGTGCACAGGATCTGGGAAGTCAGTTATTATGTGACAAACAGGTCTTTGAAATATCTATTCATTTAACAACAATGGCATCATTTATCTTTTAAAAGTCTTTGTAAGAAAGTATAAAATAGCTGTCAGCCTACTTTTATTAACCACGTCACCCCAAGGAGAAAACAAGGAGTGCCAATTTATATGAACATGTATGAACTAATTTCTTAATGAAACAGAGAAATAAAAACGTTTAGTTTTTAATGACCTAAGATATTTTGCAATATTCCTTGGCAGTTGAACTCAGATTTTTCTCCATTAGTTTGTGTTATGACTATATCCCTATCTGTGATAATGAAAATTCATTTAATATCTGTGTTAAAAAATAATGTAGGTGTACGGCATTACATACAAAAGTAATTTTAGATATAACGCTGTTTTTCCTTATTCTCTCCCTGATAAAGTTTAGAGGTAAGTGGGTTTATTATGGTCACTTAGTAATTAGTGGCAGCAAGGGGGTTAATACTGATGTTTGCTGACTTTTAGTCCAGTGCCTTTTCCTCTGCATCTCATTAACCCTGGGAAGTCCCTCCTGCTTCCCCGGTGCCCTTCCACAGAGCAGCCTCGTCTAGTATAAAGAGAAAGCAAACCACAGCCTGGGAAGGTGGGGCACGAAGGCAGTGAGACACCAGACCTTTTGTTGGAGATCTTCAATGGTGTCGAAGTAACACTGATAATCAGGGCACACCAGTGGGACATCCTCTTCACGCTGCTCTCGGATCCTGCGTTCCAGCTCTGCGTTCAACTCCTCCAGCCCGCGCACCTTCTCCAGATAGTTGGCAAGTCTGTCATTCAGGAACTGCATCGTCTCCTTCTCATGGCTGTTGAATGCACCCTCCTCACACCAAGCACAGTTCCCCACCAAGCACGGATCATTACAACTCCCAGCAAAGCAGCACGGCGTGAGGCACCTGGCTGGCAGGCAAGAGCGGGATAGGAAGCTGGGGGTCTGGCATCTGGATGGAGCACAGGCACTGGGGAGACAGGTGGTTTCCATGGAACAGGCGGAAGCAATTGCACCGTCGGAAGACTTAGCACCGGACTCGGAGGAGCAGCAGGTGGGGGAACAGTCAGAAGTCATCCTAGCAGGTGTGAAGGACAAAGACTCCAGTTGCTTGCCTCCAAAAGGCTCCTTCCTTCCTGAGACTTTTATATAGCCCCCGAAATGGGTGTTTACAGTAGGCACCAGATGTTTTCCAGTGCTGGTTTTCATATGAACACTCATTAGTGCTGTTTATTTGCTGAGGTAGAGTTTTATGCCTCATAAAAGAGGCATAACTTCAGGTTACTAAATAAGGACACCATTTCCATGTAGGATAAAATGCTCGTTTCAGAAAATCTTTAGCAGAACAATGAAAGAAAGAGAAAATTTAGCCAATCAGTAATTATAGATACAACTGATTACACATAAGAAAAGTAATATTCCCACAGATTTTGATTCTGTGCATTGAAATTTGTTTATGTTCTTCTTTGAAACATCAATATTACAACTCATTAAATGCCATATATTTGTTTGTTCCTCCACCGTAAAAATGTTCTGTGTGATTAGCAATGCTTTTCGTGGTCTTGCTCTATTCACTTGTTGGAGGAGTGAGGTGTGTACTGGGTTTAAAGTATGTGTGTGTATGAACCATACCTGCCTGTGTGCCCCTTGAAAAGTCACTTTGTATAACTGATGGGCAAAATTTTTGCCCTCCAAGGAAAAATATAAATTGGTTCTCAAGACCTGGAGTTGTGATCTTTATTTTCCTGAAACTTGTCTTTTCCACATTTCCTGTGCCTCATTTGTATTTGTATATATATATATATTTCACCTATATCTCTAATAGGAATGAAATACAGATTCTAAGTTATAACCCTTCAGTCTCTGAGGAAAGTAAGCCCTCATTAAATTATACGTCAGAGTTGGGGCAAGGGAGCTACAGTGATATCTCATTGTGGTTTTGATTTGCGCTTCCCTGATGGTTAATTGATATTGAGCGACTTTTCTGTGCTTGTTGGCCATCTGCATTTCCTCTTTGGAAAAATGTCTATTCAGTCTATTTCAGTCCATTTTTTAATCGAGTTGATTGTGTTTTTTTTGATGTTGAGTTGTATGAGCTGTTTACAACCCCTTGTCGGTCATATCATTTGCAAATATTCTTTCCCATTCAGTAAGTTGTCTTTTTGTTTTGTTGATGGTTTCCTTTGCGGTGTAAAAGCTTTTAAGTTTAATTGGGTCTCATTTGTTTATTTTTGCTTTTATTTCTTTTACTTTAGGAGACAGATCCAAAAGAATATTGGTGTGATTTATGTCAAAGAGTATTCTATGTTTCTTTTAGGGGTGTTATAGTATCTGCTCTTACATGTAGGTCTTTAATCCATTTTGAGTTTATTTTTGGGTAGGGTGTTAGAGAATGTTCTAATGTCATTCTTTTACACGCAGCTTTCCAGTTTTCCCAGCACCACTTATTGAAGAGATTGTCTTTTCTCCACTGTATATTCTTGCCTCCTTTGTTGTAGATTAATTGACCACAAGCGTGTAGGTTTATTTCTGGGCTCTCCGTCCTGTTCCATTAATAGACGTGTCTGTTTTTGTGCCAGTACCATATAGTCTGCTACTTTTGTGTCTTATTTCTTTCATTCAGTATCTGGTTTTTAATTCATCCATGTTGTCACTTACATCAGCAGTTTGTTCTTTTTCTTTTATAAAAAGCTGCTGAAGAGTATTTTATTGAATGACTGTACTATAGTTTGTTGTCCATTCTCCTATGGGTGAACATTTGGGTTATTTCTGTTTGAAGATATTATGAATACAACTTCTATAAATATTCTTGTATGAAAATTTCTGTGGATATGTATTTTCATTTCTCTTGGGTAAATATCTAGGAGTAGAGTGGTTGAGTCATAGAGAAGGTATATGTTTCTTTTTATAAGAAACTATTAGACTTTTTCCCCAGTGTGATTATACCATTTTACACTCTTGACAATAATGAATGAGAGATTTAGTTCCTCCATATCTTCACCAACATTTGGTATTGACATTTTAGTCAGTGCAATCGCAGTTTAATTTACATTTCTCTTTTGACTAATGATGTTGAACAACTTTTCATGCATTTATTGGCTCTTTGGGTATTTTCTTTTGTGAAGCAACTCTTCAAATCTCTTGACTATTTTTCGTGGGCTGTTTATCCAGGAGAAAGAATATGTCACTTGACAATATATTCTCTACTGTTCCTCTAAATTTACCATTACTGTGCGTGTGTGTGTGTGTGTGTGTGTAGGTTGTGTTTACCCTGCTTGGATTTGTTGGTTTTTATCCTGCTTAAACTTGTTGAGATTCTTGAATTTGTGGGTTTATAAAGTATATCACTAAATTTGGAAAAAATTCAGCTCCCCCACCAATTTTTATGCACCACTTTTTCTCTCCAGTCATTCTGGAACTCCGGTTTCATGTATGTTAGACCACTTGATACTGTCCTAGAAGCTCAAGTTCTGTTCATTTTTTTCAAAAAAATCTTTTTAGGTTTTTCAGTGTTTTCGTTTTGATAATTTGAATCTACCTTAAGATTATTTTGAGCCATCTTAATTTACTGACCTCACTTTTAATTGGCGGTTTCCATTCTGATGTTCATTTCTTCTAAGTTGTCCAATCTACTGCCATATAGTTGTTCACAGTATTCTCTTATGATTTTTTGAATTTCTGTAGCATTGGTTGTAATCTCGCCATTTCTTATTTTGTTTATTTGTGTTCTCGCTCTTTTCTTCTTGGTGAGCCTGGCCAGAGGTTTGTCAATTTTGTTTACACTTTCAAAAAAACAGCTCTTGGTGTGAATGATTTTTTTTCTATTTTTTAAAATCTTTATTTTCTTTATTTCCTCCCTGATCTTTATTAATTCTTTCCTTCCACTGACTTTGGCTTTTGTTTGTTCTTCTTTTTCTAATCCTTTTAGGTGGTAGGTTAGGCTGTTTATTTGAGTTTTTTTTTTTTTTTTTGAGGAAGGCCTGTATCACTATGAACTTCCCTCTTAGGACTACTTTTGCTGCATCCCATAGATTTTATGTGGTTGTGTTTTCATTGTCGTTTGTCTCAAGGTATTGACCCATTGGTTTTTTTAGTAACATGTTGTTTAGTCTCCATGCTGTCGTTTTTTACTCCTTTGTTCTTCTGTGGTTGATTTCTAGTTTCATGGCATTGTGGTCAGAAAAGATACTTGAAACAATTTCTGTCCTCTTAAATTTGTTGAGGCTTTTTTTGTGCCCAAGTGTGTGGTCTATTATTTCAGAGAATTTTCCATGAGCACTTGAAAAGGATGTATATTCTGTTTGGGGGGATTTAATGTCCTAAAAATATTAACCAAGTCCAACTGTTCCATTGTGTCATTTAGTATCTCCATTGCCTTATTGAATTTGTCTGGAAGACCTTTCCAGTGGTGTTAGTAGGGTGTTAAAGTCTCCTGCTATTATGGTATGCTCATCAATTTCTCCCTTTATGTCTGTTAGTCTTTTAAAAATATATTTAGGTGCTCCTATATTGGGTGCATATATGTTAAGTGTAATAGCTTTATCTTGTATTGCTTTTTTGATCATTATATAGTGTGCTTTTTTATCTCTCTTTATGGCCTTTGTTTTAAAGTCTATTTTGTCTGATATGAGTATTGCTACTCCCACTTTCTTGTCATTCCCATTTGCATGAAATATCTTTTTCCACCCTCTCACTTTCAATCTATGTGTGTCCTTTATTCTAAAGTGGATCTCTTGTAGGCAGCATATTGTAGGCTTTTGTTTTATTATCAAATCTGCCAATCTGTGTCTTTTGACTGGAGCATTTAATCCATTGACATTTATAGTAATTATTGATAGATGTGTGTTTTTGGCCATTTTGAACTTTGTTTTCCAGTTGATTTGGTATTTCTTCTTTGTTCCTTTCTTTTCCTTTTTGTTTTTCTTTTTGTGGTTTGATAATTTTCTTTTGTATTACCTTGATTTCTTTTTGGTTTTAAGACTCTATTTTATGCTTTTGATTTGTGGTTACCCTGTTTTTCAAATATGTTAACCCCTTACTTTATCTGTTTGCTTTAGGCTGATAGCCATGTGGGTTCAAACACATCCCAAAAAGAACAAAGAAAAGTGGAGAGACAGAGGAAAAAAAATCTGTATTTTCTTGCTCCCCTCACCCATCTTTTATGATTTTGATATTCTTTATTTTTATTTATTTATTTTTACATCTTCATGTTCATTCTCTTGTATTTCACTGTAGTTATTACATTTCCAATTATGGTTTTCTCAATTCTATAGCTTCCTGTTTCTTTTCTATTTAGAGTAGGCCTTTCAATATTTCTTTTGGCATAGGTTTAGTATTGCTGAATTCTTTTAGTTTTTGCTTGTCTCTGAAATTCTTTATCTTTCCTTCTACTTTAAAGTATAGTCTTGCCAGATACAGTACCGTAGGTTTCACCTTTTTCTCATTCAGGACTTTGAACATTTCTTGCCTCTCCCTTCTGGCTAGCAGTGTTTGTGTAGAGAAATCAGCTGAAAGCCTTATGTGGGTTCCCTTGTAATTAACTCTTTGTTTTTCTCTTGCTGCCTTTAGAATCCTTTCTTTATCTTTAAATTTGGCCATCTTAATTATAATATGTCTTGGTGTGGGTCTGTTTGGGTTCTTCTTGTTTGGGACCCTCTGTGACTCCTACACTTGGATATCTGTTTCCTTCTTTAGGTTTGGAAAGTTTTCAGTCATGATTTCTTCAAATACCTTTTCAATCCCTTTTTCTCTTTCTTCTCCTTCTGGGACCCCTATTATGTGTAGGTTGGCATGCTTTATATTATCTCATAGGTCCCTTATATTGCTTTTGTTGGTTTTTATTTGCTTTTCTATCTGTTTTTCTGATTGGGTGACTTCTGTTATCCTGTCTTCTAAGTCACTTATTCATTCCTCTGCATTATCTAGTCTGCTTTTGACTGCCTTTAGCTCGGCTCTTATCTCAGCAATTGAGTTTTCTGTTTTGAATTGGCTCTTCTTTATAGTTTTATTTTCCTTTTTAAAGTATTTTCTGTCTCTACTGATAGTCTCTTTTAGTTCCTTTATTGCATTGATCCTTCCCTTTTTGAAGTCATGATCTAGTAGACTATCCAGGTCTGTTTCCATTGATCATTCTTTCAGGGGATTTCTCTTGTTCTTTTAGTTGGGAGTTCTTCTACTTCTTCATTTTACTTATATTTCTCTGGCTCTATGGATTTAGGAGTATCAGTTATCTACTGTGGTCTTGAAGGACTGTTTTATTTTTTGTTTGTTTTTATTTAAACTGGGAGCATTCCTGTGTAGACTGTATGCATCTGGTAGTTTTGTTGTGATGGCTGTTCTTAGTATAGATGGTTGCCATGTCTTTCTTCTGTGAATGTTGGCTGTTATCCCTTTGATTGGGGTGTGGTTCATGTGGTGATCAGAGTCTTCCCTGATTGTTGTTGCTGAGCAGGGCCTCTTTTTTTGTTCTGTAGATGTCACAGCCTTGACAGGGGCTTGGTCTGCTCCCCTGTTGCTGGAATAGAGGCTCTTAGACACGTTTCTGAGCTCTGGTGTGTAGTAGGCAGAGTCAGAGTACTTCATCTGAGAAGAAGAGTAGGCATGAGATGTCCACTGGGAAATGTCCTCTGTGGTGTTGTCTGTCACTTGTTATGCAGGCTTACAAAGTCCTCTTTGTTGACGCTGCCTTTGTCCCCTCCTTAGCTGCGGGAATGTTGGCCACCTGCTCTGATGTCCTCCAGGTTCTGAGCCCCAGGAACCACCAGTGCAGATCCGCCAATGTCAGGTACTAGGACCTGCCATAGCAAGCATGCAGTCACATGCCTAAATCTGTGGTGTGCCACAGTGTCTGTGCCGATCCCAGCCCTACCTCCGCATACAATATGGTGTGCCAGCCTGTTGTAGATACCTATACTTGCCCACTCACTGCCTTTTCGTCCAAGAGGTGCAGGTCCACAGGGGTCCAGAGAGAACAAATCTTCCCTTTCTGCTTGGGGCTGTGAAGAAATCTCAGCCCCGCTCTTGCAGTTGCAGAGCATGGATTCAGCCTTCAGCCTTGCCTCTGCGCAGCAGTGATGGCTATGACTGAGCCCCATCTCTCTTCTCGCGAGAACACAGCAGCAATGGAGCCAAGTGGAGAAAGCAGCTTTTGTGCGTCTGCATCGTGCTTCTGCCCCCAACACCAAGAGTGGTGTTTTTTTATGGGGGGGGGTTCCTAGTCTGTTCTATTCCACACACACCCTCAGCTAGAGCTCACACTGCCCTCCAGTCCCCTGAGGCTGCCTTCATGCAGTGGGCTCCTGCCCTCTGCCTGGGCTTCTCACTGATCCCCAGCAGCCAATCCCAGCTCATTCCTGCCAGCTCGCATCTAGGGCTGGGGATCACAGGGACCCTTTGTGGCAGTTTCCCTTAGTTCTATCTGCCAAGTGGTTGTCACTTTCTCCTCTGAGCCTCAGAAGCTCCACTTCTGTCCCTGCTGACCTTCCACCTGGAGAGGGCATATCCCAGCGTGAGGGTGCCTTTCTTCCTATGCCACTCCCTCCCTGCAGGACTGGTCCTACACTAATTTTTTCTTTTCTCTTTCTTCTCTTACCAGATTTTGTGAGAATCCTCCTGTATTTCGAAATGAGAGACACTCTGCTGGAGTTCAGTAGGTGTTCTGTGCGATTCAGTGGGTTTGTAGATGTGATTCTTGCTGTATATGTGGAAGAGGGTGAGCTGTGAGTCTCTCTACTCTGCCATCTTGGCTCCGCTCCACCTAGCCTTAATTTCTTAATTGTTCTCAAGTTTGTGGCACCACAGCAGTTTATTTTATTTTATTTTTTTTAACATTTTTTGTTGATTTATAATCATTTTACAATGTTGTGTCAAATTCCAGTGTTCAGCACAATTTTTCAGTCATTCATGGACATATACGCACTCATTGCCACAGCAGTTTATTAATGTTATTGGTAGAGCATGTATTTTTTTTTTTAAATGCAATGTCTGGAATTCAGTAAATAATTGTTAATCATATGAAGGAATCAGTGGGTGTTGTGTATGTATCTGCCTCACCTTTCAGACAGTCAGCTCATTTTAAGCAGAGGTGGTAAAATACTGGGCACATAATAGATACTTAACAAGTGTTTATTGAGTGAATGACATTATTATGCTATTTTTTGCATAAATAGATCATGCACCTTAATTAGTTGATATGTTATGTCACATTTGGTCTTCAGATCATGTTCAGTATTTCCCAACCTACCTCAAACCATTTTTTTTGAAGTCAGTGAAAGTAAGCCCATATACTGGACCATTTTATATGTAAGGCCATTTAGTTTTCATAAAACAGCAAGAACAACAGAACCAAGAAATATTTGTATTGCCACTTTTTTCAGTTTTGCAGATGTTCCCAGTTCCTTAAAATGCTGACCTTTGGAGTTAAGAAACACATTTAATGAATTAACAGAAATAAACAGAAGTAATTGCAAACATTTGTGCTATGCCAGAGATGTAGAATTTATTAGAATAATCATGAGGAAGCTCCTCAGTTTCCAGAAAGATACCACCCAAGAATTCCCAAAGCACCCAAAGAAAGATACACTTCAATATGAAAGAATTGAACTTTGGGAAGCCTGTAGGCATCCACCTATTCAAATTGCCTTTGGTTACTGTTAGCTGCTACATGGCCATTGAAAGTCTCTCAGTTTCTTTTTTCTTTTCTTGGATCAAGCACCATCCTTGACCCAACTTCAAAAGCGGAGCCAATCAGTTGCAGGTATGGAAACAGGTGAACACTAAAGCTTCTGGGTTGACCCTTTCCATGTCAGGCACTGAGGGAAGCAGTCATCAATCAGCAGCATCTTGGGACGCAGGGCTCAGAGCAGGGCTGAGTGTAAGTTGTGAGGTTGAGGGTCTCCAGGCATGGGGTGGGCTGGGAGGAGTTGAGCAGGAAGCAGGTGGGCACACAGGGCTGAGGAATGTGGCAGGGTGGGGGGCAGTTGTCACAGCAGGTTGGCTCCAGTAACCAAACCGTGTGTGGGCAGGTGCTGGGCAGGCAGACTCCACACCGGCAGGACTTATCAAAGGAGCAGATGGTGGTGGCGGGGCCGGTGCGAACACTGCAGCCGTCGCAGGAAACACAGCAAGCCATGGCCTTGGGAATCTGTGATTTTTTATTGGTTTGGTTTAAAAAAAGATGAGCTTCTGAGATGCGAATGTCTCTCCTTGCTCTGGGGCTCTTATATACCTTCCCCAGTGGGTGTTGGTGCAACCAGAAGGCTTCTTTCCTGGTTCTTGTTTATGTTAGTGTACCCATTATCCTTTGATTGGTTTGACATTTAGATGCTTGTAAAGAGTCTCTATTTTCCTAATTAACCTTTATTTGAGTTCATTGCTAAATCTGAACTGATTACTCTTGCTATTTGTCACTAGAATACAAGCTTTATGAGGTATCATGAAAAGCTTCTGCTATTATAATTCCAGCACCAGCCCTGACGGGGAATATGCATGGCAGTACACCTTTAGTACATAGAGCTTCTCCCTGGTGCTGGTCAGCTTTTATTGTCTTTACTTTTATCTGTTATCAATTGGTCTGATGAAGTATCCTTGTTTTAAAGAGGTGAATTAAATTTTAGCAACTTTCCTTTACCTTTGGAACATTAAAAAATTAACTAATTCTAATTGATATATAATTGACGTAACATTGGATTGATTTAGTTTGGGGATTTTTGAAGATCAAACTTACACTGATATGGAGAAATATACTATTATTCCATTTTTATCATAAAATGTAATATATTCATTTAAAAATTCAGACAATATGGAAAAATATAAAGAAAACAAAACTCATCCAAAATCTTAACATCAAGAGAAATTTCTATCAATATTTACACATATGTATCCCTCTAGTCATTTTTCTATACATTTGTTTATCATTTTATCACATCACTGGAATCATATTGTACCTACTATTCTACAACTTGACTTTTTGCTTAATCATATACATTTCATTATCTTGTATTTTAAGTATATCTGATAATGTTATTTAAAAATATTTCCTAGCATTCATTATATAAATGTGCCTGTAAGTTGCTTAAACATCTCATATTATTAATCATTGAAGCTATTTGCAGTTTTTCTCTATGATAATTGTGGTGATAGTAACAACTGTGTATATCAGTCTTTATGCACATTTCTGATCATTTCAGAAACAGGAATAATTATTGAAGCAAATATTAGTTAATGATATTTTAAGGCCTTTGATATTCACTGCCATAGTGCTCTCCAGAATGATTCAATTCACCTATTTTTTTTCTGTTTATGCTTTCCCATCTGCTGTGTTTGAGAATTCCTGTTTCCCTATACTTTTAATGGATATTTTATTTTAAGAGTGTTTGCCAATTTGGAGGGTGGGATGTATTTTCATTGTTTGTATATTTGTATTTCTTTCATAACTGTGAGATTAAAACATCCTTTCATATATGCATTGGTCATTTATCTTTCTATTGAGAACTGGCTTGCCTTGTTTCCTTTTCTGCTAGATGTGGGAAAGTTGAATTTTTAGCTTATGTCTACATACTAAATAAAAGAATAATTTAAGATCACGGTACTAATATTGCCACCAGTGGAAAGTGAAGTTAAGGGCCTAAGCTAATCTGTTCACATTTGACTTTGTTCACTTTTTTGCCCCCAGTGTAGTGCATTTTCTCCCCCAAATCAAACGTAGCTGTGGTAGGAAAGACCTGGATTCTAGTTCTGGTGCACTGTTTAGGCTCAGGCTTAGTTCAGCATAAAAGAGGGAGCACAGAATGAGCTCTTGTCTGGGGTCGTCCTGATGACTCAGGCCATTTCCACTCAACTTTGACTCACTCAAAGTTCAGATCATGGTGCTTCTCACTTCCTTTAAGTGTATCTGTATATCAGTGCATGACAGTGGGCATGTCCGTGTGGATTTTTTTGGAGGAGGTGCAGATTATGAGTTAGAAGAGCTCTTCGCTGGTCCCAGTACTGCTGGTTACTTTCTTGGAGCCTCATCTTTCTCCTCTGCAAAATAGGGGTAACTATATCTCTATTCTTCCACTCTGAAGATTATTGTGAGGCTCACTTGAGATAAAAATGGGTGAAGGTCTGTAGACAGCCATAAAGTGCTACACAGATAAATTATTATCATCACTAACCTAGTAAGTTGCAGCTCAAACTCAAGGAAAGGAAAAGGGAAAGGAGACATAGTCCAAAGAAGAAAAAAATAGCTAAAGGTAAGTAAAAGAGCAACCTTATAGGGAAGAGGAAACATTTATCTAGAAGTTCATACATGCAATTAGAGAAAATGGCTGACATAGAAATTAAATTTCGAATTTTAAAAAAGTTCTCTGTGGCTCTGCTTTGGAAGAAAGAGTTCGTAATCTCTGCTGGTGTCCCTGGATTTCATCCCGATTTATCTTTGAGTAAATGAATACCTGCTAAAGTGCTCACCCTTTTACTCAGGACTAATTAATATTCTTTCAGTATTTAAAAAATTCTTCAGTAGACATTTATTGAGCAATCACCATGTGCCAGGCACTGTGATAAATGTTGCATATACAACAGTGGGCAAAATAGACATCATCTCTGCTTTCATGGAACTGAGAGTCTAGTGGAAGATCTGTCATATACATAACATATTATTATAAGTTACTGTTGTTATCAGTTATGATAGAAAGGAAAGGACTGGGTTCAAAGGACAAAAAATTAGCAGGAGGAGATTATTTTGACATTTTAAGAAAAACGTTATAAAGGGATTTGCAGACTCTCACAATTAGAATTTCATGACAGAGAGGCATCAGTCTCTTATTTAGAATGCATACAATTTTGAGTCAACCTTATAGGGATAAAGGAATTGTTACTATTCTGTGTGGAATACTATTTTTCTGTAGTTAGAAATAAGTCTTAGGGTTACAGATTAGAAACAGTTGTAAAATAACAAGTTTATGAAAAACTCGTATCTTTTATCGAAAAGACTTGTGGCACTTTGTTAAAATTTATTTTCTCTGCAATGGTCTGAGAGACCTGGGAATAATAACTCTCCTTCATTTATAAATTAGGCTAATGAGTCCTTGAGAGGTGAAATAATTTGCCTTGGATGACCTGTCGACTGACTTGTTAAAAACTAAATATAGGACCTATTGGGACTGAGCTACCTTTTATGTGGTTTAAAATGTAAGTTTAAAGTATGTGTCAGAAATATTAAGCCTGAAAAAAAAGAAAAATACAAATAAATAAAGCTTACTCTCTTTTGTGACCTAAAAAAAAAAAAAGAAATATTAAGCCTGTTTTATTTTTAGAAACAAAGAGTATGTTTTTCCTTTAAGGAAATGCAAGAAAAACATGGTGATTCTTGATTAGATGGTAGATTTTCAAAGTGCTGAAAATACACACACACACACACACACAAGAACTTGCCATTTTAATTACACCTTTCTAGAGTCTATGGGGGTGTCTGCGACAATGAAGACATAAATTAAAGATTGATAATAAAAAGAAATAGAAGTAAAAAGTAAAATATGATTGTTAGTCTCTTGCTTCAAATCCCTCATTGCTTCAAAGATTCAGCTTGAACCCCTCTGCCTGGGTGGCCCCACTTAAGGGTCTTTACATTTTTCCCTCTCCTTCGTCTCAGCCTCTCTCATCTTCAGTGCATCCGTAAGTTTGCAAGCTGCTGTTCCCTCTGGAACAACTGCTCCCCACCTCTCCTGCCTTCTTTTAATACTGAGCCTGGATAGCTTGGAGGCTGTCCATAACTGTCCCTTACCCTGAATCGCCAAACAGATCAGAGGTTAGTTATTCTTTCTATGGGCTTGCCTGGCATACTGGTTACGTCTCCATCACAGCAGAACTCACACGGCATTATAATTATGTTCATTCAACATAAACAGAGCATATGTATTGTGATTATCATAACTTGTCTGTCTTCACCAGGTTTGAGGGAAACTTGAGGGCACTTTAGGTAGTAACATTTCTTTTATCTTTATACTTCCAGGATGAATATGGAGCCTGGCACGGGAGAGCACCTGGGAAATATCGGCCAGGTGAATGAGTAAATGGACCGAATTCCTTGTTGACTGTGTCCTGAGTTGTGTCCCATCTACCACACGGCTTCGAAGTTCTGTTCTCCCAAAGTTGAGCTGCTAATAAGCCTGTGGGATCCTCTGAGAAATCTTCTCTGGGGAGGCTGACAGGTGCTGTGAGGACATTTAAAAACATGTTTATTTAAAAGCATTTTCTTTTTCTCCTCCTTGCCTTGCCTTTTTCACATGCATTCTTTTGGTTTTAACTCAACACTTTTTCACATTTTGACGTGCGTCTTTACATAGGTATTGTATGTATATATAAATATATAATATATGCTGATATATTATATATTTTAAAATATATTTATATATTTACATATAAGTATGTGTAAGGCTGGGAAAAGAATAATCTGCATAAGAGAAATGAAGTGGGTTGGTAAAATGAAATAAAATTAAGTAATAGATTGAATTGTGTTTAATAGGTTTTAGCTCTGGCTCTCAGACTACTACCTAGACAGTCCTGGCATTCTAGTCATCATTGGAGTAGCATGCTGCCAGGTGTCCTCCTACGAGGGTCGACCACTTTAAGTTCTCTTCAAGGGAAGATGAAGTCTAAATTGGTAGACCCACTAGATGACCCAGATCTTAGAACTGAATACCCACCACTTTTAATCGATGAGCCAGTATATCCTCTATTACAGTCAGATAAGATTATATTGTTCAGGATTTCTGCACTTCTAATTTTTCTTGCATATTGTAAGTTAACGTCATAATTGTGTTCATTAAGCTTCTGGCTCTGTTGGTATTGGAGGCTCTGTGATGTGGTAGAAAGAATTGGGCTTTAAAGTCAGACAGACATACAAGGAGCTGAATCCTGGTTTTCTCAGTGAAAAAAACTTTGTGAATTTGAGAATGTTGTATAACTCTTAAAGCTTCATTTTCCTCCTTTATTATGCTGTTTTAAAGGCTGCATGAGTTAATACATGTGATTTACCTGGCAAAGTGCAGGTAAATGAATGTTGACTCACCCCCAACTTGTATGTGTCTGAGGAAGTGGAGAGAAGGTGAACATAAAAGATAACCAATTTAAAGTTAGCAAGCTCTGTTAGTAGGTCAGTTCCCATCATTCCTCTAAGAGATTATTTTTTAAAAATAAAATGTCTGCCTTATCTTTACCTTTTTTATGTGAAAGAAATACACCAAAGCCTCTAACATAAACCACGAATACATCTTGCCACAGACATAAAGTTTATTGGAAAACCCATCAACGCATTTTTTCCTTCTATGAAAATACCCAGTACAAGAAATGGGATCCAAGCAGCAGCACAACTAAGAATACATAGTTTGAGGTCTGAAAGATTTCAATAGTATTTTAATAATAGGTGACATTCATCTGTCCAAATTAACCAAATGGTTACTCAGCCAAATAACCGTAAAAAAATTTCTTGATACTCTTTCCATTAACATGAAAGGTAGGTTTTCCATGTCTGGGCCTTTTGGCCTGCCTCAATATCTGATGAACTACAGAGGCAAGTGAATGCTAAGTAGCTGGCTTCAGAGTTCTTCATTGTCAGGCACTGAGCGAAGCAGTCATCGGTCAGCAGCATCTTGGGACGCAGGGCTCAGAGCAGGGCTGAGTGTAGGTTGTGAGGTTGAGGGTCTCCAGGCATGGGGTGGGCTGGGAGGAGTTGAGCAGGAAGCAGGTGGGCACACAGGGCTGAGGAATGTGGCAGGGTGGGGGGCAGTTGTCACAGCAGGTTGGCTCCAGTAACCAAACCGTGTGTGGGCAGGTACTGGGCAGGCAGACTCCACACCGGCAGGACTTATCAAAGGAGCAGATGGTGGTGGCGGGGCCGGTGCGAACACTGCAGCCGTCGCAAGAAACACAGCAAGCCATGGCCCCGGGAATCTGGTTTGCTTTCAGTTTCTTGTGGAGAAAGATGAGGTTTCTAAGATGCAAATGTCTCCTCTCACTTTGGGGCTCTTATATACTCTCCTCATTGGGTGTTGGTCCAACCAGAAGGCTTCCTCTCATTTTTGTTTATGCTACCCTTTTCCACTAAGATTCTCTAATCAGTTTGGTATTTACTTGTCCATTAAGAGTTCCTGCCCTCATGAAAGTAATCATGTTTTTGACTCATTGACTTGTCATTTTTGTCATAAGATGATCACATTTTATTTCACTGGGTCCTGGAATGCAAAATCTTACATGAATTATGTATGATCAGTCCAAGTAACAATTCATGTATAGTTTCAGGGGCTAAATTCTTCTACTTGTTTTTTCCCTTTGGTTTTAAATAATATGCATAGCATGATGTGATTTTTAATTACTAATTTCAGAACATGCAACTCAAATAATTAATTGGATCATTTTCTATTGAATAAAGTCACCAAAGACATGGCTACTTATAAATGAATGTTGCATATGACTGCATGCATCTCAGATATATTTGCCTTATCTATTGATATAATTCAGATTTTATTGAACAAGTGAGATGATAGCCAGAATGGAATAAGATGAAACCCTTTTCATTATTTTTAATAACTCTATGGTGAGTTTTGAAAGGTTGTATTACCCTATGGAGTTTTTGTTTTTGTTTCTTAAACAGTCTGTATTCTCAAAGTTGTGCCAACGTTGTAGTGAGTTAAAGTATAAATTCACCAGAAGGAAAGATCCACTCAGTTGCTATTTTTTGTTAAATGTACCATTTAAAGAAAATCACCTCCGTCTTCAATCATTTTCACAAGAATGATACACTTTAAAATAAGATGAAACAGGAAAGGAGAAATCAGAAGACTGACAAAATAACAGAGGTTTCTGGAGGGAGGGATCTGGTTCAATGGGATTTCGCACTATGACATTCATGGAAGTCATTTTTTCCACTGACTTACTCCCCACTTTGCATGTTTATTTGTTTTCATATCTTAGATCTTCAATTAGGTTGTAAATTCCTTTGACAAATGCCTTATTTGACATTCTTCACCTCAGCTGGCCTTAATTTGCCTTACTGTAGATTGGCAGATGAGGACATTGAACCAAATCATCTCCAATGTGTAATATACTATGATTCCAACATTCCCACATACTTTCCCATGATCAGCAGAAAATTATTGAGGTAGTAGAATCTAAGTTACATAATTTGTTGGATGACAGATGGTTGAATTTGCAAAGTGCAGATTCTTTAGTGGATTGTCTCTGAGAGATCACTAGTGGAAGACCAGGCTGGCCTACTTAGAAGAAGACTGGCTAACACAAATCAGTGGACAATATTAAATGTCACTGCAACAGAAATCTCATACATTTTGAGAAGAAAACCTTGTTCGTAAAGTTGGTATGATTTGGGCTTAAATATTGATATTTATCATAATGCACATCAAGTCAAAATGAAGGTTGGATCTCCTAGCTGCTTTATACCTCTGTGGCTGTGACCATGTTGTTTCTTTTCTCCTTCCCCAGTGCTCTCCTTCTCAAATGCTACCCATCCATCAAGCATCAGCTGGAATATCCTTCATAAAGAAACTATAGGTGGTTCTTCTAGCCGGTTTCATTCTCTTCTCTGCTCTCGCAAAGTGCGCTGCCTGTCTTTTCATCTAGACCTCATTTCGTTCTGCTGTGTCTTGTATTTTCTCACTTATAGTTGTCTTCCTCACTCCAGTGCAAACTCCTGAAAGTGGGACTTGTATCTTTGTCTCTGTCAAGCACCTAGGGCAATGCCTGGAACACAATAGGTATTTTATAAATGTCTATTTAATTGTATGAAATTACAGATGAGAATGAAAAATAGGTATGCATTTATTTTTAGAATAGTCTTATATTAGTATAAACCTTTACACAATCAGAATGACTTATTTCATTTGTGAAGCACTTTACAGTTGTTGAAACAATTTGACATTCAAAACTTCACCTAAATGAGACTAAAAAACTGTGGTTGGGCTCAGTGCTCAAGGTCCCTTCTGTGAGCACGTCGATCTCTAACTGCCAGTTTCTTAGCCTCTTTAAGGACGTATGTGAGTTACTTATAGAGGCAGGGAAAAATTAAAATTAAAAGTAGGTGCTGATCTTGGAATTTAAAATGCTTCTAAGCTTAGCATTTACTGTATCTTATTATCCAAGCAATTTTTCTTCACGTATTGACATAATCCCATGAAGCCTCTTTTTGACCAGATTTATGTTGATGGCATCAGAAAGTGTGATTCCGCCCAACATATTTATAAGTTCATGATGCATGTCTGTGTCAAGAGTCATTGGGTAATTATGGCATTAAACATTGAGACACCACGTGGTTTGGGGAGCAGTGGTGTTTATTTAAAGTAAGGAGGTCCTTGATAGCATTTTTTTCCACTTCTCATTCGAAATCATTGTTCAAATTATAGAACACTTCTGCAAAACTAAAGGCACAGGGTCAGAACATGTTTTGTCCAGAGCTTCTAATTAAAGGCTATTTGCGGACTAGCTCTTAATGACTGTTGCAGTCCCTTAGGGCTGTGTGGGCAAGCTTGTTGAAACATCTTTGGCTAGCAGTGAGGTGCTTCACACTCACGGGGCTGGATGCAGGTTGTGACAGAGATCCCACTCAGGTTCGGAGCAGGGTGACAGCTATTGAGCAGCCAACATGATGGCACGTAGGAGTCAGGCTCACAGCGGGGTGGGGGGCAACTATCGCAGCAGGTGGGCTCAAGGAGGCTGATCTCATGTGGGCAGGTGCTGGGCAGGCAGACTCTGCCTTGACAGCATACATCAGAGGAGCACAGGGTGGTGGCGGGGCTGGTGGGGACACTGCGGCATCCTTGGAGACGAGACTCCCAGCAAGACATGGAGACAGTGGATCAGGTAGATTTCTGTCACAAGGGAAGATTTTCTTCTACGAAGTTGTCCTGTGTGAGTCTTTTATAGCCACCATCTCAGAGAACATGGCTTCTGTCCATCAGAATGTTTCCTTGTTGTTGTTTGTATAACCCCATAGAAGTAACTCACTAACTTTTTATTTATCAGCCATGGGATGAGCTCTCCTTCAGTTTTGTTTGATCGTGTTGCTACATTCAAACTTACTCCCTGTTTCAGTTTCAAAATGGTGTCAATGTAGATTCTCCACTTACTCAACCACAGATACATCAGTATCTGCTGTGACTTTCCGCTTTTTAAAACTAATCAGAATGTATTCTTATAAGGGATCACTACTGAATGTGAAGAGTCAAGAGTGATTTCCCCGAGAAGTAAGAAATGATCCCTCTCAAAGTGTATGCCCTGGATATATTTGGGAAGTCAAAACCTGTGGGACTTTTTTTTCTACCAGATTGACTTTGCTACCGTTTCATGGATTTGAGAAAAGAAATGAATGTCAAAGACATGTAACATGATCTTGGGAGGTTCAGAGCCTGCTAGATGATTTTCTATACTGATCCACTACATTATCCATATATGCAATTATGTATAAACATAAATAAGCTCTCAGTTTTACAAAGGATATTGGTTTTTTTAACCACAAGTCAGAATGTGTTAAAACATAGGTTCATGAGACTCTTTGTGGCCTGAGAAATGAACTTGGATCTCTGTAAAACAACACAAAAAGTTCTTCCTTCTCAGAAAAGCCAAACTGCCGACCTGCCTATTACACTTTTCAAAATGCCAAAGCTGATTAGTCACCTTCTATCAAACATACAGGTACTTTAAAAAAAAATTCCTCCCACTTTACTTCAGTTACAGTGTTAACATCATAGCTAAAGTGAGTGTGTAACTAGAGTAAAAGAGACTGATCAGCAAATCCTTTCATTAAAAGTCAAGTAGTTACTTAATCTCTAATATATTCTGAAGAGTGTGGTAGGGATACAAGACATGGTCCTGTCCTTAAGGAGTACATGGTCCAATGGAAAAGGCCAGAAATCCCTTTGCGTATGATTCAAGCAACATCTAATTAAGTACATGACAGGGAAATGGAAGGAGTTTCAGAGATAGGTTTGAATCCTGATTTTAACGTACATGTTGTGAGACCTAGATCAAATTATTAAACTTTTGGAGCTTCAGTTTTATCAACTCCAAATTTGAGAAAAATAATCATCACCTCCTATAGTCTTATTGCAAGAGTTAAATAAAGATTAACTGAGAATTGCTTATGCAAACCATTCAGCATTTCATGTGGCACAGCAGAGTTATCTAATAAATGGCAGTTTCACCTCTAGGGACTGGGAGAATTCCCACAAGAGGAAATACAATGAAAGAGGTCTGAAATGACCAGAAGTCTTCATGGAAAATTTGGATTAAGTTGTTTTGGGGAGGAATGCTTAGAAAAGAGGTAAGTGCATTTTGGGCAAGGAAAACCGTGATTTCTACTATGACACTGTTCTGCCCCTACTCTCAGCATGGCCCAGCAGGACTGGCCATGCCCTCCTTTGTGTCTCTGTAGCATCCCATATCCACTCATGTAACTTTGTTGCATTTTTTTTATACACAGTTTGGCTCTCTTTACTAAAATATAATCTCCTTCGAAGCAGGAACTATGTCTCAATTTTCTTGGTTTCTCTGTTACCTCGTATAGAGTCTGGATCATGGGGTGGAGTCTGGAGGCTGGGACACATGGCATAAATATTTAAAGAATGACAGCCAGTATTTATAGAATGCTTCTGTATCAAGTTTTGCCAGGAGAACAAGCAAATAAGAACACCCTCACACAAGGTATTTCAACAGAGAGAGTTTTAAGATGGGGAATTGATTAAATACATATGGGAAGACTGAAAAAGCAAAAAGGAAAACTGAGGTAACAAACACAAGAAGCAGCTACCAGCTCGAGGGCTGGGAAGGAAGAGAAGAGGTTGGGGTTAACAGGACCTGGGAGCTTGGAGGAGTGGTCCTGCAGACCGGGGCTCAGACCACACATACTGCCCAGCTGGTGCTCTTACCAAAGAAGCTCAAAAGAGAGGCCCCATGGGGCCATGGCTTGGACCTTTGTGAGAGGCAGGTGGGGAGGCACTTCCTCACTGACACTAGTGTTTCTGAGGAAGTGCAATGATGTTTTTGAAGAGTGAAAAGAAGCTGGAGAGAAGAACCTACTGCCACTGCCAGATGAAGGATTATGGCTGGAGCAACAAGAGCCCTTTTCCCCCTTCTCAGGCCGTTGGTCTTTCCAGCGCCCTCTATTGGTGGAATCTGGTAGAAAATCAACCAAAGGGGGAACAGCTCTCATCCCCGCATCACAGAGTAGTAAAAAGTGGACTTAGAGATGGACAGTCAGGCCACACTCTTCCAAGGGTTGAACATGTTTTAATTAGTTTAATCTTTACTGTAGCTTTAGGAGGTACATTCTTTTTTTTAATTAGCTTTTTATTTTTGAATAATTTTAGATTATTCAACTAAAATTTTGCAAAAATAGTCCAGTAGTTTTGTATTTCTCTCTCTCAAGTTCCCTTGATGATAATATCATGCACTACTATTGTGCATTTGTCAAAACTAAGACACCAACACTGGTACATCACTATTAATTAAATGTCAGACATTATTCAGATAAAACTATTCAGATAGTTTTTCCACTAATGTCCTTTGTTCCAGGATCCAGTCTGACACACCACATTACACTTAGTCATCACATCTCCTTAGTCTCCTTTGGTCTGTGATAGTTTCTTGGTTTTTCCTGGTTTTTCATCATCTGGACAGTTTTGTGGTGTACTGGTCAAATATTTTACAGAGTACATACTATTTTTAATCTTATTTAACAGTTGAGGAACATGAGGCATAGGGAAGTTAAATGGCATGGCCCAGAACACATAACTAGTAAGTGATAGAGGTACCATTTAAAGCAAGACAGTCTGATTTCAGAGACCACTCTCCCGACCATTGCATAGGGGGCATTGCTCTGACTAGGATACAGGCTGCATGTTGCCCCAAGATTAGTAGCAAGTAAGAATCTGGTGAAAATGATTGTACCAGGTTAATCAGGGTCTTAAAAGCGACACTGAAGAATTTAGACTTGATTCCATAAAAATTAAAATCTCGAGTCATCCAAGAATTTGGAGCAACTCAACCTGACCAATATTTATAGAGGGATAGAAGTCTGTCCTGACAGAGGTGTAGTTTGGATGGAGGAAGGGGCATGGAATACTTGACTCAAAGTCAACTAGGAGACTTGCTGTGACCAGGAGTGTGGTGATCAGAGCCTAAATTAGGCTAGAGTCAGTGAAGATGGAAAGAAAGTCCTGGAGGCAAAAAACAATTTGAAATACAAATGAAATAACTTTGTTTTTCTATTCTACTCTCAAGAACACACAATTATTATCTTTCAGGGTAGTTTGTTTTTACCTTGAACTAGGTCATTGAAACTCATCAGAAAATTGAAAATGTGTCTGAGTTGCCAAACATTCTGCATTTCAGTGCAAGGTTAATGAGTATTTTTCCTGTGCTGATGTTTCTAATTAGTATTAAAAGTTTGACTTTAAAAAAAACACATGATTTGTTTTTACCTTTGAAATGTAAACAGTTTTTCCTAGACTCACTGTGTATACTCATTTTATCTTAAACTATAATCAAGTCACCACAGAGAAAGCTGTTACTATATACAGCCAAATAGACAGTTTAGAGGGAGAGTAGAGCATGTGTTGTCAAGTAGCTTACACTTTCTCCTGGACAAACAGAGCCATGTGTACTCACATTTCTCTTGGGCACGTTGCTGTGTGCAGAGCAGGCAGATGCTTTGGTGCAGTGAAAAGAGGAGGAACTCTGAATTCAGACAGCTCCTCTGTCACTTACTATTTGTTTACCTTTTGCAAGTAACTTTCTTAGTCTCAGTTTTCTCACCTGTAAAGTGGGGAGAATGATGGTAGCTACCTCTTAGAGTTTTGGTAGAAATAAATGTGATAATGCATATCCAGCGCATATTAGAGTGCCCAGTAGATATTCACCAAAGGTTAGCTATTATGACTGCAAGCAGTAAAGTAATAAGATGAGGTAGGGTTGGCTAGTGGCATGGAGTATTTGTCACTTAAAGTGCTTCTGGATAATCTAGAAATACAGAATGTTAAAACTGATATTAACTTTAGAGAGGATCTGGTTGATTAGCCCATTTTACTGATGTAAGACCTGAGAATCAAAGACCTTGAGTGACTTGCTTAGAGTCACAAAGGCAGCCCAAGGCAGAACTAGGACTGGAACACATATCACTTGATTTCTATCAGGGGCTTTTTAACTAGCCAAGGATCCCTTAAAGGCCCACAGTGGTAATAAAAGGATACTTAGAGTTATTTTCAGTATTAAAAGTAAAACCAAAACATTTATCCCTTATCAGCATGTATAAAAACATCAAACTTTGTTTTTGACTAAAAAAATAGTTAACTTTGCATGGTAACAGTGGTTATCTTGCATTAATCCTAAAATTCAGACTATACTTCAAAGCTCTGATAATCAAAACAGTATGGCACTAGCACAAAAACAGATACATTGATCAATGGGAAAGAATGGAGAGCCCAGAAATAAATCCACACACTTATGGTCAATTAATCTACAACAAAAGAAACAAGAATGTACAGTGAAGAAAAGACAGTCTTTTCCATAAGTGGTGATGGGAAAACTGGACAGCTGCATGTAAAAGAATGACATTAGAAGATTCTCTAACACTGTATATAAAAATAAACTCAAAACGAATTAAAGACCTAAATGTAAGACTGGAAACCATAAAATTCTTAGAAGAAAATATAGGCAAAACACTCTTTGACATAAATCATAGCAACTTTTTTTGGGGGGGGTCTGTCTCCTAAAACAAAGGAAATAAA